TGAACTGCTATGCCCCCAGCTTCTCCAGGAGGTGATCAGTTAACGGCTACCCACCGACAGCCGGGCCCAGGGAGCAAGGCTGGGGTGTCAGTGGGGTCTCCCTTTACCGGCCCCTGGAAGCGATCTAGCAACTTTTCAGAAAGCCGACTGTCAGCTTTACACAGGTATACAGACTCTGGGCAGCTATAGCCGCCAGGAGTCTGTTTACAGGGGTCCACGGTCAGTACCGTAAGGCATAAGGCAAAAAGAGTTAATGGGAGTGCATGAAAAATGCATAAAAATAAAAGTCTATGGGGCTAAAACTGCATGATTCTGCCCCAAAAGAAGCTCGTGTCCCGTGAAGCCCAAAAATTACATGAGCTTCCTTTGGGGCTTTGGGGACAGGTGACAAGCGCCACAATGCTCCGGTGACCCAGTGGAGAATAACTGGACAATTCTGCTCCTGTACTACAAGTCAAGCGCACAAACATGCATAAAAATATGCGTACAAGCACACAAAAGGTGAGAATGGTGCCTTTGGGTGCAATATGGACTCCAGAATTCTGACAGGTTGCCCATGTCTGCTGCTTTTCCATCATTCTATGCGTGGAGAGGAGACAATGCGCTGGGCCCATACATTCTCAGGTCAGTGCACAGGAATTTCAGTACTGCAGCATAATTCCTCACCGGGCGCTTACTACAACACATGAAGGATTTGTGTGACTAGACCAGACATTCCTACCTGCTTCAAATCAATGTTAAAATATTGAGTCATGAGTTATGTCCACATGTAAGGACAAGCTTCATTCCGGAAATGTCTGAGGGAAGCCAGACAAGGGCTGGCTCAGGCCACCTCTGCGTCTAGGCTGACGGGTATGATGTCATAACTAGACAAACCAAATGGACGGAATGCTAAAAAAAAGTTTTGTTGTGAGGTAGATAATACTGGCTTGGCACAGAAGAATATTCAAGATAACTATGGCCAATGGGTGAGGATTCCATTGGCTACTAAGAGCAACAAAAGTATTTTCTGCCCTCAGACATGTTGGGTCCACTAGCATTAAAATGTATAATTTTATAAATCATCACACTAGAGCTGAGCATCTTTGCTTGTTTTTTCAGGCATTTGTACAGGTTTTTTTGTGCACGTTTCAGGCTTGAGCTTTTTTTTTGTATTATTTTTAGGCAATGAAAAGCTAGTTGCTAGGCAATAATATAGAAGAAAAATGCACGTTTTCATTAAATTTTCACGTGCTCCCATCAAGGCCCCATTCTAAGCATCGTTGGACATTTTTTCTGTTTTTTTTTTGCGATTGCACAGGTGTTCTTTTGTGCATGGTTCAGGCTTGAGCATATTTTTTTATTATTATATTTAGCCAATAAAAAGCTAGTTAATAGCCCCATTTACACTTGAGCTGCAGGTCTTTGGTTGTTTTTTCTCTAGGTTTTTTTTTTGTGGCTAATGTACAGGTGTTTTTTTTGTGTCTTTCAGGCCTGAGCATTTTTTAATCATTATTTTTAGCCAATGAAAAACTAGTCACTAGGCAAAAATACCAAAGACAAACATGCATTTTTCAGGTGCTCCTATTGAGCCCCATTTACACTTGAGCTGAGCATCTTTGGTCGTTTTTTCTGGCTTTTTGTTTTTTTAAACCGTGCAGGTGACTTTGTGCGTGTTTCATCCAGAATTTTTTTTAATGAATATTATTTAGCTAACGAAAAGCTAGTTACTAGCCAATAATTTTTTTCTTAGGCATTTTTCAGGTGCTACCATTGAGGCCCCATTTACACTTGAGCTGAGCCTCTTTGGTCCTTTTTTCTGGCTTTTTTTGAGCATCTGTACAGGAATTTGTATTCATGTTTCAGCATTTTTTCTATTATTTTTAGCCAATAAAGAGCTGATTAGTAGGCAATAATAAGAAAGATTTGTCTTGCTTATTTTTAACATTTTTTTGTGGATTTTTCAGGTACTCCCATTGAAGCTCCATTTACACTTAAGTTCTTCCAATCACTTTAAGTTCACCTCACTGTGCTTGCTATTAGCTCTACTGGTTTCTATGACCCCTCCCCCATCTCAATATTTTCTATGGACATCCCATCAGAGTGAGGTTGCCATATTTACCCTAAGTGAAACCCGAACAGTCTAGCACAGTGTGCTGCAATTTTGTTCTGAGAATATAGAGGAGAGAGTGAATAGAGGCAGCCAGGAGAGGGAGTAAGGAGACAGTTTATGGAGGATTACAAATCCCAGCAAAACATTATATAGCGATACAAAATATTATGAAGCTACATATGTTCTGGGTTGGCGCCCCAATGTCTCAAGGTGGGCTGATGGCCTGTGCGGGCTCTCAGGTGGGCTGTGCAGCTCTCAGGGCTGCCTGGGCTAAGGTGTCTCACCAGGGGTCCGCAGGTGGGCAGCATGGTGCCAGAGAGCTGGTGGAGGAGGAGCAAACACAGATGTGGCTGCTGTGGTCCCCAGCAAGCACGATCTCAGGTGGCCCCATCTGCCTGAAACCCAGATCTTCTCCTGAGCTGTGGACACCTGTAAACAGGTACAGGCTGCTCGCAGCTCAGAGGAAGATCCCGTTTCAGGCCGATGCGGCTGCCAGAAACCGTGCTTGCCAGGGACCTCAGCAGCTGCATCTGTCAGAAAATTTAAAGTGCCGGTGTCCGCACTGAGTGTCTTGCATCCAGGTGCCCGCTGGCTGGACACAAGACTTGAAAACCGGACTGTCAGGGTGAAAATCGGACGGGTGGCAACCCTACATCAGAGTCATATATGAAGTGTAAATTTTAGTTTCTTTCTGGAGTTCTACTTTAGGCAGAACGTTGACTACATTGTACAGTTTGGGTAAAGTTAGCCAAAAGAAAAAAAAAACTATTATGCTGCTCAAGTTCTGTGGAAAGAGATAACGTAGTGTGTTTGTCTTCGATATAAACATATCTTTCCACGGAATTCATTTATATTTTAGCTTCTTTTTTTGTTCCCTTGATTAAAATTAATGACACCTCCATGTTTTTTCATCTTGCTGTTCCCATCTCACCGCAAACACCTCCATCATGTTTTGATCTTGCTGTCTCCATCACTGCACAGCAACACAACACAGAGATTACATCAAAATGTACTGTAAATGTATAAATAGATTCTGCCACTCAATGAATACGGCAGAAAAGAGGACTTGTAATCTGGCCAGCGCACGTTCTGCAGATCATTCTGTTTATCAGAGACAAGTGGTAACGTTAAGAAAGAAACAAAATACATCAACTGTACAGACCGAGGTTACAGTATAGCTGGTCAAATTGAAGCAAAATCTTAGTTTAGGATCTAGTCTTGTATGGCATTTTTATTCAAAAATTGTAGTACATTGTAAGGTGTATGAGAGACATCTATACCCAGAATGATACATTTTATGATATTATAGATATATACCCACTAGGTGCCATCTAATCCTCTCTGCGGCCCCCCCACCATGAAGACTTTTCTTGTCCTGGATGGGCAGCACTCGCTACACACACAGTAATTATTAAAGCCCATCTCCGGGTATACAAAAAAAAAAGTACCCTTGCAGTGGGGCTATCCTCACGCTGAAGAGTTAAGTGCTTATTTCTAACTAGGGGAGGAAGTAAAGCAAATGTATTTAACCGATCCCCACTCCCATCTGCTTTTGGAGCTTCTAGACCAGCATCTGCAGCCTCTTGTCCACTGGGCTCCTGTGGCCTAAGGACCACTGACGTTATCACATCGAATTCAAGCACCATAGACCTGCATTACACGTGAGAACGCCAAGGGCCAGACTGGAGGAGGAGAATGCTGACCTCTGGGGGAGTGGGGATCAGGTAAGTGAAAGTGCTTTACTGCAGCCCCTAAACAAAAGTGAGCTACCCCCGCACTACAAGGGTTAAGTGCTCATTTTTGTCTAGGGGATGGAATAAAGCAAATTTACTTACCTGATTCTCCGCTCCCCCTGGCTTCCTCGGAGCTGCTAGACTGGTCCCCACAGCCTCTACTCCCCTGGGCTATGGCGGTCTAAGGACCGCTGATGTCACCAAGTCTAATTCAGTTTTCATAGACCTGCATTAGATGTGAGGACGCTGAGTGGCATTCCACCAGCTGTACTGGAGGGGAGAAGAGGGGGGAGCAGGGATCAGGTAAGTAAATCAGGTATCTCCAGCCCTTAGACAAAGTGCCCTTGCACTGCAAAGGTACTTTTTCTGTTTGCCTGGAGATAGACTTTAAAAGTTTTGGCAATACGTGTGTATTGGTTAATGTATGAAGAATATTCTATACTTATGTACAAATGTACACTGATTACCCTTTTGTGTGATGTTTTAGATTACTTCTGTTCTCCTGATGAAGCTGACTGTAAAACGCGTTGAGAAAATAACCGCTTCCACCTTCAAGTGCCTAGGTAACAGATTTTTTGTATTGTCGTGTTAAATTTTATTGTATGCTTTAATATTTTTATATAACACAAATGTATGTACTGTATGTGTGTGTGTGTGTGTGTGTGTGTGTATATATTATATATATTTATGTATTGAATTATTTTATCTTCACATTCAGGATTCTCTCCACTTTATATTATACACAATGGAATATAAGTGGTAACTGTTGTTTTCTACCTCGCTGTATTGGCAGGTGGTGGACTTCACTTTCCACCCACTGTCTCTCACACTTTAGGGTCAGACAGTTCACACTAATTAACACAGTGTCTGACTCTGCCATGCCCGGGGAAACAATGAAGCCAGAATGGGGTGAACCATGCATAGGCTCACCCTGTGTATGTAGACACAATCACTAAAACCTCATATAAGCTTTAACTCTGTCTCTGCCAAGGCAATTTTTTCACTGCACATTTTAGGCGGGAAGATAACTTAAACCCCCCGCCCC